GGCTTTCTAAAGACTTGAGGAATAAAAAAAGACTCATTCAGAAAGTGGAAGGAGGGCCTGACAACCAAGGATGAATATAAACAAATATCCAGTGCTTGGGGGGGGGGGGGGAGAGAGTTAGGAAAGCTAAAGGTCCGTATGAGCTTAGGCTAGCGAGATATGCTGAAAACAACAACAACAACAAAGGCTTCTTTTCTTGTCTTCAAAGGAAGAAAAAGAGCAGGGACATGGTAAGCCCATTGCAGGCACAGGAAAGCGAAATTGTAACAGGTGATGGAGAGAGGGGCAGACCTGCACGATTCCTACTATTCCTCAGTCTTGTCTTGCAAGGGAAACTGTGCTCAGCAGGGCAAAAACAGAACCCTTGATGAGGGAAGGGAGTTGCAGCCTAGCATCAGCACAGGAGTGGTACAAAAAGACCTAGTTTGTTTAATAGGAAACAGAGAGTGAGTATAAATGGGCAAATCTTCTCAGTGGAGGGGGTAAGCAGTGGGGTACCGCAGGGATCAGCACTCGGTCCGATGCTTTTTAACTTGTTCATTAATGATTTGGAGGTGGGAGTAAGCAGTGAAGTGGCTAAATTTGCAGATGACACGAAGTTGTTCAGGGTGGTGACAACCAGGGAGGCACTCCAAAAGGATTGTGGCCAAGTGCAAGGTGATGCACATTGGAGCCAAAAATCAAAAATATAAATACACATTGATGGGGTCTGAACTGGCAGAGACTGAGCAAGAGAGAGATCTAGGAGTCGTAGTAGATAACTCAATGAAAATGTCGAGAAACTGTGCGACTGAAATAAAAAAAGGCCAATGCTATGCTGGGGATTATTAGGAAGGGAACTGAAAACAAATCAGCCAGTATCATAATGCCCCTGCATAAATCATTTGGAGTACTGTGTACAGTTCTGGTCACCACACCTCAAAAAGGATGTTATAGCATTGGAAAAAGTGCAAAAAAGGGCAACTAGATAAAAGGGTTGGAACACTTTCCCTATGAAGAAAGGTTAAAGTGCTTGCGGCTCTTTAGCTTGGAGAGACGACGGCTGAGGAGTGACATGATCAAGATTTATAAGATTATGCATGGGATAGAGCAGGTCAAGAAAGAAGTACTTTTCTCCCTTTTTCACAATACAAGAACTCCTTGTGGGCACTCCATGAAATCAGTTTTAGAACAAATCATCAAACAGTCAGTCCTTGAGCATTTAGAAAGGATGGCTGTGATTACCAAGACCAGCATGGGTTTCTCAAGAACAAGTCATGTCAGACTAACTTTATCTCTCTTTTCGAGAAAGTTACTACCTTGCTGGATCAGGGGAATGCTGTAGACATAGTTTATCTTGATTTCAGTAAGGCTTTTGATAAGGTTCCACAAAATATTCTTGTTGACAAATTGGTAAAATGTTATTTGGAGCCTATGACTGTTAGGTGGATCTGTAACTGGTTGACAGATCGCACCTAAAGAGTGCTTGTGAATGATTCCTCATCTTCTTGGAGAGGAGTGACAAGTGGAGTGCCTCAAGGATCTGGCCTGGGACCTGTTTTGTTCAACATCTTTATAAATGATTTGGATGAAATAATAAAAGGAATGCTTATTAAATTTGCAGATGATACTAAACTTGGAGGGGTAGCAAATACAGAGTCAGGATACAGGATGGTTTTGACAGGTTGTAAAACTGGGCTAACAAATAAAATGAATTTCAGCTGGGATAAATGTAAAGTTCTGCATTTAGGTAGGAAAAATCAAATGCATAATTATAGGATTGGAGAGACTTGTCTTGGCAGTAGTATGTGCATAAAGGATCTAGGGGTCTTAGTAGACCATACACTGAACATGAGTCAGCAGTGTGATGCAGCAGCTAAAAAGGAAAATGCAATCTTGGGCTGTATGAACAGAACTATTGTGTCCAGATCATACAAAGTGATGGTATCGCTTTACTCTGCTTTGGTTAGACCTCACCTAGAATATTGTGCTCAGTTTTTGGGCACCACAGTTTAAGAAAGATATAGGCAAGCTGGAACATGTCCAGAGGACGGCAATGAGGATGGTGAGGGGTCTGGAGACCAAGTCCTACGAGGAAAGGTTGAAGGAGCTGGGCATGCTTAGCCTGAAGAGGGGATGAATGAGAGGTGATATATGATGACCATCTTCAAGTACTTGAAGGGCTGTCATAGAGAGGATGGTGCGGAGTTGTTTTCTGTTGACCCAGAAAGTCAGACCAGAACCAACGGGTTGAAATTAAATCAGAAGAGTTTTCGGCTAAACAATAGGAAGAACTTCCTGATGGTTAGAGCGGTCCCTCGGTGGAACAGGTTTCCGCAGGAGGTGGTGGGCTCTCCTCCTTTGGAGGTTTTCAAACAGAGGCCAGATGGCCATCTGACAGCAATGCTGATTGTGTGGACTTAGGCAGATCATGAGAAGGAGGGCAGGGAGGGTTGCATCAGTGCTTAGTACTTGTGGCACTTCTTACACGCCCAGGGAAATGCTGATCATCACTTTGGGGTCAGGAAGCTATTTTTCTCCAGGCCGGTTTGGCTGGGGATCCTGGAAGTTTTTTGTCATCTTTTGGGCATGGAACAGCAGTCATTGCGGGTGTGGAGGGGGAGGTATTTTGAATTTCCTGCCTTGTGCAGGGGGTTGGACTAGATGACCCTGGTGGTCCCTTCTAACGCTTCAATTCTATGATTCTTCCAAAATGGCACCCATTTCCCTCAGTGCTGAAAGGGAGTTTCTCTCCCGTTTCAAACCAGAGGGGCCGTGGCTCAGTAGAAGAGCATCTGCTTGGAATGCTGAAGGTCCCAGGTTCAATCCCTGGTATCTCCAGTCAAAAGACCTGGCAGCAGGTGATGTGAAGGACCTCTGCCTGAGACCCCGGAAAGCTGCCGCTAGTCTGACGAGACAGCACTGACCAGGATGGACAAAAGGGCGTCTGATCCAGGCTCAGGCAGCTTCATGTGTGTTCAGAGGAAAGTCTCTGGGAGGGGAGGGGCTAAGATGCAAGCCACGAGGAGGAGCCCCACTGCCCAGATGTCTTTGCAAACACCCATAAGGCCGTGTCCGTCACTCTCACGGCCAGAGGCAGAGAGGCACCTGCAGAAGCCAGAACTGCCCCGTCACTCTCGGGCCAAGTCTGCGCGCGCACGGAAGCGCTTATGCCATGAATAAAACTTGGTGGGTCTTCAAGGCGCCTGACCGGACTCCAACGCTTCTCCACAAGGCATTGAGGAGGGCAACTGACCAAGCAGTCCCCCTCCCCCAGGAAGCAGAATGAGCATCCGCACCAGAGGCTGAAGCCATCGGCCGGCTGCAGACCACCACAGAGCTCCCTTGGCCCCCCCAGAACTTGCCCTGGCAGCCGGCCGGGTGGCCACAACCCCTGGCAAAGACCAGGGCAAGCCGCTCACCCCCCCCCCCTCCACGGACAACCCAGGGGTTTTTTGCCCCGCCCG